ATGGGAAAATGTTAATGCACCGATATTAGCGTCTTAATTATTCCAGATATCGATCAATTATCCAAGATACACCTATCGATAATTTCAAGCAAAACCACCTGTGTTAACGAGCAATTACAGTTTAAACGCAATCAAGATCGAACACCGTCTAACGATTCCAATAAATTTCTACCGATAACTCGTCTCGTCCGATTCTTCGTAAAAATCCGAAAAATAATACTATCCCGAAGAAAGCAATTATGCGACTCTACATGTGCGAGCTCGTTTCTCAAAGTCAGGCTCGTCGATCGTGACACGTGATAGGTGTTAAATAGCACACAATTGCTCCGGTTATCGGCGGAAATCGACGACCGAGCGCAACTTCGCAGGAAATATAAATTTCGGGAAGTCGAGGAAAGAAGAAAATAAGAATAGAAAAATCAGCACAGCCAATTAACACCGTAGAGAAGTGGCGCAGAGCCGTGAGATAGACCAAGTCGATTACACACAGGGAGGTTTCGCGTCGATAATATCTTTGAACGCAACTTAGATTTACGGACGATATCACGGTGTACACGTTCCACGGCGAGATGTACGCGCCCGTATCGATATATCCTGATTTCCGCCGACATTCTCTCTCTACCTTTGATCGTTCCACTGGACTCTGCCCAGGTGCCGTCACACCGGAGGATACAGAGCGTGTCGGTATCATCACGGTTAGAGCTGTCGCCGATTCTTCAGCTTCCTATCCAGTTCCCCTCCTCGATGTTATTATTTAGTGGCACGAAGTCTACTTCGTTCGTTACGCAGGACGAATGGCTTAAGCTTAGGAGTGTGCTGGTTTAACGCGTCTCGGCGATTCTGTGGCTTTATTCCTTCGCCGATTCGTTTTGCAGTTCTTGGAGTAAGAAGAAAGGGTTGGACTGAGTGGATAAATTCTAATTATTGATAAAATTATGTGTTTCGTATTTCAAACGAAAATACTCATTTGTGTGTTTCCGAATGTCCCTCTATTTTTATCGAGTGTAGATATCTTGTTTTAGCGTAGATTGAAGCTCCCATTTGTGCTTTATTCTGGAGAATTCTTTGTGCAACTATGTTCAATTGTTTTAAACAGCTGTCTTTGTTGATTCACCGTGATTTTGTTGTGCGATTCGGGCTTACGGCTAGAACAGAGG